TACCTTCATGAATTTCATTAGGTCGTGAGCAGCATCTGATGTGCTAATCTTTGAAGACTTCCTTCCTTTTGATGTTGGAGGTAACAAGTGAAGCAGCAAAAGAATGGCAGCCAACTCGCAGTCCCATACTACAGAATAAGAATTAAGATAATCACAATGACTGTCATTTAAAGGTCCACAGCAGTCAATGTTTTCAATGTTATTCAATGCCATGATGACATTTTATATAACTGATAATTTTTCAAATAAAGCAGTTTTCCATTGTCTTCAGTATGGTATGAAAATTCATTTCCAGAGATTTCAAATCTTCGGGGCACCAAGTGATGTATATATTGAGTCATAACAATAGTAACATTATGTAACTTTTTTTGTCAAACTTTAAATGCCATTAAAGTTTCAGGTTTACCATGTTTGTAAATTCATTTTCACACCATACTGAAATGTGATTCATAAAATCAACAGCTGTTGTAAAGGTGCCAAAACATGTTTAGGTTTAATGGTATGGTCCACTAATATACTGTGCTGTGGGAATTGCGAAAATGCCGTAAAGGCATGTGAAATCTACCATCTCCAATTTACACTTACCACCCTCATAAGAGTCACCATGTGAAGAAATGAGCAGCTCATCCAATTCTGTACTCTGAGACAGATTTTTGCAATCTTTGATGATTCTTGGCTTGAAGAATGTTGGCCACTTCGCGCAAGGAATTTACCAGACACTTCCTCCCCAAACGGCATTGTGAAGTCTTGGTCAATCTTAAACACAAAATGTAACAATAGAAAGAACGCATTAACAAGCAAACAATCAAAGGAACCACAAAGCTGTCAGTATATCATTTCATGTCTTACCAAGCCAGGTGTATCCAGAAATCTTTGGAAAAGGTCCAGGACAGAAGAAGCTGTGGCTGGATCTTGAATCACTTTTTGCCTATGTTCAAATGTCACCTTCATTTTCTCTTTCAAGTTTTGGATACTGAAGAAAACTTGTTCCTGACTGTTGGGATTGTTCAGTGCTACATGTCAAAAAGCCAGATATGGCATCATGCATTAGAGGTCTATTTAAATCAATTGTTACACAATGACTTATTTTTACATTTATTCATTTTGGGTCCATTAGGGAATAACTGCCTGAATTACAGGCT